TAGATATATTGTAGTTTTAAATGTGAAAGTCAAAATAATAAAACTCATAAAAAGATTAATATACTATTTCCATGATCTTTTAGTACAGAAAGATTTACTAAACAGGAAATAACACAATGAAGCAAATGATTGATAAAATGTACTACATTAAAAAGAACTTTTCAACAGAAGATACCATAAAAGAGTGAAAAGGTAAGGTACAGAGTAGAAAAAAGACATTTACAACATTTTGTAAAGAACTCATACACAAATCAATGAGAAAGACAACTGTATAGGAAAATGAGCAATAGAATTGGGTAGTCATATCACACAAAAAAATTATCCAAATAAAATATACTAAAGGTTTTCATCATTATTAATAATCAGAGAAATACAAATTAAAACCACAATGAGATAACACATCTACCAGAGTGGCTACATATTTAAATTTTTCAAATTTTTGAGATAATTATAGATTCATAGGAAGCTGGAAAAATAGTGCAGAGAGGTCCAGTGTATGCTTCACCCAGATAACCTTGAAAGGTTATCTTAGATAATTAAATCTAATTAAATCTGATAGCTTAGATAATTAAACCACAATATTAAAACCAGGAAATTGATGTTTATTATCACAAATGTGTGTGTATACTTCTCTATCATTTTATCACATGTAGATTCACATAACTACTATAAAAGTCAAGGCACTGAATTATTTTATCACCACAAAGATCTCCCTTGTGCTATTAAACTTACACCCATCTCCCTCCCCTCTGCTATTCCTAATCCCTGGTAGCCATTAATCTGTTCTCCATCTCTATAATGTTGTCATTTTGAGAATGTTATATAAATGGAATCATACAGCATGTTACCGTTTGAGATTAATATTTTTTTAAAATCATAATGCCCTTGAGGTCCATCCAAAATGTAGTTTATATCCATAGTTTGGTCCTTTTCAGAAAGACTAAATTTTTAAAAACTGACAATACCAAGTGTTGATGAGGATGTAGAGCAATAGGAACTTTGATATACTGCTAATGGGAATGTAAATAGGTACAACTACTATGAAAACATATTTGCATTTTCTACTAAAGTTGAAGTGCACCACCTGATTCAGCAATTCCACTCCTAGTAAATACTCAATAAAAATATATGTTGTCATAAATCACAGAAATATTTTTGGGATTCATCTCCTAAAGTAAGGGAAATAAAAACAAGAATAAATAAGTGGGACCTAATTAAACTTAAAAGATTTTGCATGGCAAAGGAAACCATCGACAAAAGGAGATGACAACCTACTGAATGGGAGAAATTACTTGCAAATGGTATGACCAATAAGGGGTTAATATCCAACATATATAAGCAACTCATACAACTTAACATCAAAAAAAAAAAAAAAAGAAACCCGATTAAAAAATGGGCCAAAGAACTGAATAAGCATTTTTCCTAAGAGGATATGCAGGTGGTTAACAGGCACATGAAAAGATGCTCAGCATCACTAATCATCAGGGAAATGTAAATGAAAACCACAATGAAATATCACCTCACACCTGTCAGGATGGCTCTCATCTAAAAGAACACAATAACAAATGATGGCAAGGGTTTGGAGAAAAGGGAACCCTCCTAACTGTTGGTGGGAATGTAAATTGGTGGAGCCACTGTGGTAAATAGTATGGAGGTTTCTCAAAAAACTAAAAGTAGAGCTACCATGTGACCTGGAATTTCCAGTCCTGGATATATACCTGAAAAAAACAAAAAACACTAATTTAAAAAGACACTTGCACCCAATGTTCATAGCAGCATTATGTACAATTGCCAAAGTATGGAAGCAACCTAAGTGTGCATCAAAAGATGAATGGATAAAGAAGATGTGGTATACACACACACACACACACACACACACACACACACACACACACACACAATGGAACACTACTCAGCCATAAAAAAAGAACAAAATTTTGCCGTTTGCAGTAAAGTGGATGGACTTGGAGGGCATTATGCTAAGTGAGTAAGTCAGAGAAAGACAAAATACTGTATGATCTCATTTATATGTGGAATCTAAAAAATACAACAAAGTAGTGAATATAACAAAAAAGAAACAGACTCACAGATATAGAGAACAAACTAGTGGTTACCAGTAGGGAGAGGGAAGCGGGGACGGGCAATATAGGGGTGGGGTAGTAAGAAGTACAAACTATTAGGTATAGGATAAGCTACAAGGATATGTTGTACATATCCAGGGAATATAGCCAATATTTTATAGTAACTATAAATGGAGTATAAACTTTAAAAATTGTGCATTACTGTATTGTATACCTGTGACATATAATATTGTATATCAACTACAGTTTACAAAAAGGTAAAAAAAATATGTTCACCAAATAAGTGTTCTGTAAAAACATATTTATAGCAACATTATTGATAGCAGCTATAGTCTGGAAAGGACCTGATGCTCATCAACAGTAGAATGGATTTTTGTATTTATCTTTTTTTAAAAAAATTAATTAATATTTTTGACTGCGTTAGGTCTTCATTGCTGCACGTGTGCTTTCTCTAGTTGCGGTGAGCGGGGGCTGTCTTCATTGTGGTGTGCAGGCTTCTCATTGCGGTGGCTTCTCTTGTTGCGGAACACGGGCTCTAGGCATGCAGGCTTCAGTAGCTGTGGCACGTGGGCTCAGTAGTTGTGGTTCGTGGGCTCTAGAGCACAGGCTCAGTAGTTGTGGTGCACGGGCTTAGTTGCTCCGTGGCATGTGGGATCTTCCCGGACCAGGGCTCAAACCTGTGTCCCCTGCATTGGCAGGCAGATTCTTAACCACTGTGCCACCAGGGAAGTCCCTAGAATGGATTTTTTAAAATTGTGGTTTGATCATACAATAGAGTACCGTAGAGCAGGGATGGACAAACTTTTTCTGTAAAGAGCTATGTAGTAAATATTTTAGGCTTTGTATGTCATACGTTGACTATGGCAACTACTCAAACCTGCAGTTGTAGCATTGGAGCAGCCGTGTGCAATATGTAAACAAATGGATGCGGTTGTGTTCCAATGAAACTATTTACAAAGACAAACTTTGGCCTTTAGGTGCTGTAGTTTGTTGACCTCTGCTGTAGAGCCACAAACTATAGATGAATCTCATAAAGATAATTTTGTGTTAAGGAAACCATACATTATGATTACTTTTTTATAAAATTCAAAAACATGAAAAATGAATCTAAAGAATTAAAGTCTGAGTATTGGCTGTCTTCAGGAAGAAAGACAGGGCAGTGATAGGAAAGAGCATGAAGGGTACTTCTAGTGTGCTAGTTATATCATCTTTACTCGAATGGTGGTTCCACAGGTCTGTTCACTTTGGACTTATTGAGATATATACCTATGATTTATGCCCTTCTCTAGTGTGTGTGTATACATATATATGTAAGCGGCGGTGTGTTATACCATACTTAGTTTTAAAAGTTAAAAACAAAACAGAAACGTATTTGTGTTCCCATCAGAATAGAACTGTGTTTATTCATTTTTGGTATATGATAAACATACAATAAATGTTCATTGAAGTGGGAGTTGCTAATAGCAAGCTCTGTAGCAAGATAAGGGACAGTGAAGAGTAATGACTCAATTAGCTTGAAGAGCTTATTGAAGACTTTTGGGAAAGCAATTTTGGTATAGGGGAAGTAATCATTTAAGGCATTTTCATGAAAAGAAGATAGATCCTAGTTTAAAAGGCTAACTGGATCTAATAAATGGTGTGAGCTGTCAAGTAGCATTCATGTTTGAAGACAGAAGGAAAAGATTGTTTGGATAGCTGTTAAGAGCAAGATGCCACAACTATTTTGTAATGATGATGTTTAATTTGGCTCATCAGACAGATACTTTTGTCATGTCTTTTACCTCCTTACACTCTTTTTAGATGTTAACTCTGTAAAGGGTCATGGACCAATTAGCACTGAGGAGTAGTGTAGATGTGATACAGAGTTTATTGGGGAAAACTTACCAGAAGTAATAGAATGCAAGTAGTCCCTCAAACTCTTTTTTTTTTTTTTTCCCCACAGCTTCAGCCAGGCTTCGATAGTCTTCATGCATTATGGCCCGATGACCTTCCAGTAGAGAATGGCCTCCACCTCTGTAATGTTTTACATATATGTAGGTCAGGGCAGGGAACATCTATGTGATTATGTAACAAAAATTAGAAAGGGGCCCTAGGGGCAGGGATGGGCCCATTTTTCCTTTGAGCCAACAGCTTAGACCTACGCAGTATCCTTGCTACTAAGCTTATAAAAGGGGTTTGGAAATGAACCTTCAGAGCCATCTAGGTTTATGTTTCATCACATGTTTCCCACTATTAGAAAAAGAGGCAGAAACTTCTTGGACTAGTGCTAAAGATCTATTAGCTTTCTCCAGCTTCCTTACCAGACCACTGGTTCTAAACAAATTTTGTCATTTACTGAATTATCTTCTAATAAATGATTGCTTATTCCAAGCTTCTCATCTTTGCTCATAGTACCTAATTTAGGATGCTTTTCCCTTTCTCTAAATTCTCATTCTAAGGAGCTGCTTTGTCCCATCTCTTCTGTGATGCCTCCCTTATGATCTCAATTCTTATACCAAATACTATCCACTTTTCATACACTGTCTAATATTATTTTTATGTGTGCATTTCTTTCTTTCCATCTAACTTGTAAATTCCTTAAGCATAGGGAACATGAATTTGGATTACTTTGTAACCTCTATAATACTCTACTGGTCTTGTGTGTAAATGCTCAACACATAGTTAATGATAAGAATGTATGTTCTTATAATGTATTTTAATTATAAAATAGTCATAATATTTTAGGGTTCTTGATGCCTCTTTTAAACTCTGAGTATTAATTATTAAGTATAATGCTAGATTCTTTATTAGAACATCTTTTCTATTCGGTTGCAATCAATTCCTGTTTTTAAAACTCATTTTTTGAGATTAGTATCAATTATTGTCTGTTGGTTACTCTATTAGCCAGTTTAGTAATTAGATTCCTCCATTCTACTTCAGCAAGAAGTTGAGAACTTTAAGAAGCTAAATCTCATTAGTAAAGAGCAGTTTGAAAACCTAACACCTGAACTTCCTTTTGAGCCAAACCAAGAAGTTCCTGTAGCACCTTCACAGTCCAGGCAAGGTATGTAAATCTGCTTTTGTGTAAGTGTCTGAATAATATTCAAACAGTTCTAAATTGTTTTTAAAGTTTGCTTTTTATTTGTGGAAAACATTTAGATATCTGGTAAAAGACTAGAATTTTAAAACTCAACTTTTATTTATTCTTTGGTGAACTTCAAAACATTTTAGAGACTTAAAAATACAGATTGTAAATTTGGTAAGACAGCCATGTAGTAAATGATCATAGTTGGAAGCCCACCTTACTCTTGGTGGATAGGCAGGTAATCACAAAGGTGATCCAGGAGTTGTCTATTATAACACCACCTCATGCTCAAACCCAAACGCTTACTTAAAAGTAGGGTGAATTGGTTGGTTTCTTTATGTGTCTCTTTTGACTTTGAGATTGCTGGGAATGCTTCTCTTTGCAAAATAAGGAAAAATTTTCACTCACTTGCTGATTCCTTAAAATATACCACTAGCATCATTCTTTTGCTTTAAGGCCATATCTTTGTGTGAAAGTGTAAGTACATTTGGGAGATTTGTAAAATTGAATCTGACATTTTCAGGCAAGTGTAACTGATTTTATTATAGTTTTTCCTGAAGGCAGGTTAAAGAAAAACTTTTAATTTGGAAAACTTCAGACATATGCAAAAATAAAGCAAATTGTATAATAAAACCCTATGTACCCATTACCTACCCATTAGCTGCTTTATCATCTCATAGCCGATTTTATTTCATCTTGACTCCACTCATTCTCTTTACCTCCCACTTGGATTATTTTGAAACAAACTCCCAATCATATTATTCATATTTTTTCATTCCTAAATATTTCTGTATGTATCTTTGATAAGATAAAGACTACCTATTTTACACATAAATAAGCCAGTACCATTATCACATCTAAAATTAACAGTAATTCCTTAATATAAAATATCTAATTGGTGTTCAAATTTTCTCATTCATCACTTAAAAAAAAAATCAGAATCCATATAAACTCCAAACGTTGCAGTAGGTTGATATGTCTCTTTTAGTGTATAGGTTCATACTGTTGTGTTTTTTTTCCCTTGAACTTTATTGTTGTAGAAACTAGATTGTTTGTAGAATTTCTTACATTCTGGACTTTGCTGATTGCATCCCATGGTTTCATCCAACCATTTTCTGGTCCTGAATTTTCTTTAACTGTGATTTTGATACAGAGGCTTGATCAGATTGAGGCTCATATTTGTGCAAGAATATGTCATATGTTGTGTTGAATACTTATACCAGGAGGCACATAATGCTCGATTGTCTCTCTTTGGTGTCTCTCTGTGATAATCATCGCTTGAAGGTTTATTTCACAAGGGGCTTCAAAATAGTGATAATTCTATTTTCATAATTCCTTCTTAATTTAGTAGATTACTTCCATAAGGAGGATTTCCCTTAATTGACTATTTGTTTTTCCTGAGATAGAAAGGGAATAAATGCTTTATTCTTTCACTTTGTTTACTAGTTTTCAAAGTAATGAGCTGGTTCTCTACATCTTTCTTTGCTGACCAATGAGGAGGTTTTTTGGGGTTTTTTGTTTTATTTTAAAATTATCACTATGATCAAAACTATTAGAGCTCATCAAAAAATTTGGTAAAGTTGCAGGATATGAAATTAATATACAGAAATCGGTTGCATTTCCATACAGTAGCAATGAACTATCAGAAAGAGAAATTAAGGAAACAATCCCAATTACAACCCCATCAAAAAGAATAAAATACCTAGGAATAAACCTACCTAAGGAGGTGAAAGACCTGTACTTGGAAAACTATAAGTCACTGATGAAAGAAATTGAAGACAACACAAACAGATGGAGATATATACCATTTTCTTGGATTGGAAGAATTAATATTGTTAAAATGACCATACTACCCAAGGCAATCAACAGATTCAATGCAATATCTATCAGAATATCAATGGCATTTGTCACAGAACTAGAACAAATAATTTTAAAATTTGCATGGAAACACAAAAGACCCGGAATAGCCAAAGCAATCTTGAGAAAGAAAAACAGAGCTGGAGGAGTCAGGATCCCAGACTTAAGATGATACTACAAAGCTACAGTAATCAAAGCAGTATGGTAATGGCACAAAAGCATACATACAGATCAATAGAACAGGATAGAAAGCCCAGAAATAAACCCACGCACATCTGGTCAATTAGTCTACAAAAAAGGAGGCAAGAATGTACAATGGAGAAAAGACAGTCTCTTCAATAAGTGGTGCTTGGAAAGCTGGACAGCTACATGTGCAATAATGAAATTAGAACATTCTCTACATCATATACAAAATAAACTCAAAGTGGATTAAAAACCTAAATGTAAGACCAGAAGCCATAAAACTCCTAGAGGAAGACTTGGGCATAACACTCTGTGACATAAATCACAGGAATTTTTTTTGCATCTTTCTCCTAAAGCAAAGGAAATAAAAGCAAAAATAAACAAACGGGACCTAATTAAACATAAAAGATTTTGCATGGCAAAGGAAACCATCGACAAAAGGAAATGACAACCTACTGAATGGGAGAAATTGTTTGCAAATGATATGACCAATAAAGGGTTAATATCCAACATATATAAGCAGCTCATACAATGGACCATCAAAAAAGCGAACAACCTGATTTAAAAAAGGGCTGAAAAACTGAATAGACATTTTTCCTAAGAGGACATGCAGGTGGCCAACAGGCACATGAAAAGATGCTCAGCATTGCTAATCAAGGAAATGTAAATCAAAACCACAATGAGGGCTTCCCTGGTGGCTCAGTGGTAGAGAGTCCACCTGCCGATGCAGGGGACACGGGTTCGTGCCCTGGTCCGGGAAGATCCCACATGCTGCAGAGCGGCTGGGCCCGTGAGCCATGGCTGCTGAGCCTGCATGTCCGGAGCCTGTGCTCCGCTATGGAAGAGGCCACAGCAGTGAGAGGCCCGTGTACCACCAAAAAAAAAAAAAAACCACAATGAAATACCACCTCACACCTGTCAGGGTGGCTGTCATCCAAAAGAACACAAATAACAGATGTTGGCAAGGGTGTGGAGATAGGGAACCCTCCTACATTGTCGGTGGGACTGTAAATTGGTGGAGCCACTGTGGAAAGCAGTATGGAGGTTTCTCAAAAAACTAAAAGTAGAACCACCATATGACCTGGCAATTCCAGTCCTGGGTATATATCTAAAAAAACAAAACACTAATTTAAAATAAAGACACATGTACCCCAATGTTCATAGCAGCATTATTTACAATTGCCAAAGTATGGAAACAACCTAAGTGTGTATCAACAGATGAATGGATAAAGAAGATGTGGTATATATAGATATACAATGGAATACTACTCAGCCATAAAAAAGGAACAAAATTTTGCCATTTTCAGCAACATGAATGGACTTGAAGGACATTATACTAAGTGAAATAAATCAGAGAAAGACAGATACCCTATGATCTCACTTATATGTGGAATCTAAAAAATACAAACTAGTGAATATAGCAGGAAAGAAACAGACTCACAGATATAACGAACAAACTAGTGGTTACCAGTGGGGAGAGGGAAGGTGGGAGAGGGATTATGAGGTTAGGGGATTAAGAGGTACAAACTATTATGTGTAAAATAAGCTACAAGGGTATATTGTACAACATGGGGAATATAGCCAATATTTTACAATAACTATAAATGGAGTATAACATTTAAAAATTGTGAATCACTATATTATACACCTACAACTTATATACTATTGTACATCAACTATACTTCAATTGGAAAAAGAGAAAATTATCACTCTGATCTCATAAATACATTAGATGGGTAACCCTACTGTCTTATTGATACTTGGGCCAATTATCAGTTTATTGACTTTTAGCTCCAAATCCACCTTTCATTGCTTTGTTCTGTGATAATAGAGTTGGACTCTTTTTTTAAAATACTATTTTTTCATTTGTTTATTATTTTTGGCTGCATCGGGTCTTAGTTGCAGCACACGGGATCTTTCGTTGCGGCGCATGGGCTCTTCATTGAGGTGTGCGGGCTTCTCTCTAGTTGTGCCATGTGGGTTTTCTCTCTCTAGTTGTGGCGCACAGGCTCCAGAGTGCATGGGCTCTGTAGTTGTGGCGCGCAGGCTCCAGAGCTCATGGGCTCTGTAGTTTGCAGCACATGGGCTCTCTAGTCGAGGTGAGCAGGCTCAGTGGTTGTGGCGTGCGGGCTTAGTTGCTCCGTGGCATGTGGAATCTTCCCAGACCAGGGATTGAAGCTGCAGTTCCAGTCCCCTGCATTGGAAAGCAGATCCTTTACCACTGGACCACCAGGGAAGTCCCTGGAGTTGGACTCTTAACTGTCTTGTTTGCCAGGTGGTTGAGCTTTGTCAGTACTCTAGTTGCTACTGAGTTGGTCATTGTTTCTAGGCCTTTTCTATTGAAAGAGCTTGGAAATTTTTTTAAGGAAAATTATGTTACAAATTTATATTGATAATTTTTGTTCAAATTTAGGATTACAGATTTTAATTTGTTAGATTTTATATTTGTACGACGTTTTACTTATGTGAAAAAAATATCATTCCTAAGCACAGTAACAGAATTGTTTATCCTATGATATAGTAGCTTCAGAATAACAATAATATTAAATAATACTACTATAAATACTAAAAGAAGCTTACTTTTAAAAAAATTCTTTAAATTTTTAAGCTTTGAAATTTTAAAAACTTTATACTTTTAAACTTCTTTTTTTTTAACATTCTTAGGATATTCCACTAAGGATGTTTAGTCTAATTACAAGATTTTTTGTGTTGTTTAATTTGAGTAAATTAAAATTGATAATTTATGCTCCTCACCACATCATAGAATTAAAGTCCCAAGAGATGTATTTTATTTAATTAATTAATTTACTTAAATTCCCGGGATCTACTTTTAACTTTCTTTCTTTTTTTTTTTTTTTTTTGCGGTATGTGGGCCTCTCACTGTTGTGGCCTCTCCCGTTGCGGAGCACAGGCTCCGGACGCGCAGGCTCAGCAGCCAT